TGCTTTGATATTTTTAGTAGAGTTTCAAGCCTGTGCTTTGTCATTCTGGTTCTGAACAAGTAGGGAATGTTACATTTCCCAGATAAAGTGTAATAAAGAGGCTTAAACATATTCTATTCTAATACTGAGAATTGAACCCAGGGCTTGCATATTCCAGATAAGTGATCTGCTAGTAAGCTACATACCTGGCCCTTTAAGAACTAGACTTTGGCCAGGCGTTGGTGACACACGCCTTCAATCCCAGCACTTGGGAGGCAGAGGCAGGCAGATCTCTGTTAGTTCAAGACCAGCCTGGTCTACAAGAGCGAGTGCCAGGACAGCCTCCAAAGCCACAGAGAAATCCTGTCTCGAAAAACTAAAACCAAAAAAAAAAAAAAAAAAAAAAGCTAAACTTTGCTTGTGAAAAGTGCTTGCTACTCTTACAGAGGACTGAGTCTGTTCTCAACACTCCAAACTGCTTGTAACTCGAGCCCCAGGTGATCTGGTCTCCATGTGGATGCATGCTGTACACACATACAAAGTAAAATTTTATTTGGAGGTCTGGGGACATGTTTCAGTGGTACACGATTGCCTAGCATGTAGGAGGGCCTTAATTCAATATTAGTGCTGCAAAAAATAAAGTAACAAAAAATTTCTTTGAGACAGAGTCCACTGTGCTGTACTCAAACTTAGGATTCTTCTGCCTTGGCCTGGAGTTACTGCTAAGTGTGCCTTTATACTGTGCCCAGAAAATATCTCAGACTTCAACATTCAAATAGGTTCATTGTCATTATCTAATAGTATTTTTTAAAAAGAATGAACTTGCCATTAGAATATTAACTAAAACAGTACAAAAACAAAATGTGGGTGCTCTCTCTCTCCTCTTTTCCTTTTTCTTTTTGGAGACAGAGTCACATGTAATACAGGCTGGCTTTCAGCTGAAAAGGTGGCAGAGGATGACCTAGGCTCCTGATCTGTCTGTCTCCATACCTGGCTGAGTCATTTCTCTTTAGTCACGCCCTCTTGATGCTTATCTTGATAGACCTGGGCCCTGTGTTATCATGAAGTAAACAAATCTTGAACCCCCTGAAAACAGCTACTCTCTGTCCAGCTCACAGCTGTTGGGTTGTAGAATCCAAAATCAAACCTTTGAGTAAATTTAGATATTTGTGTAATCCTGTGGATGCCAACTATAAATTTGGGCCTGTGACTATGCTTGATTCTACCCTGTCCCTCAAACCACATTCTTAATACAAAAAGAAGATTCCAAGTGTACAGGTCAAATATCGGTTCCTCACCTAGTTTGTTCCTAGCTAGCCTCCTGGGCTAAGGAGATGGCTTAGTGGTCAAGAGTGTTTGCTGTTAAGTCAGCAACAGTCAAGGCAGAAGACTTGAGTTTGAATTCCTAGCAAGCAAGTAAAAAGCTGGATGTGGTCACTCCTTTGTCTGTAACCCAAACACTGTGGGGTGGAGATGACAGGATTTCTGGGGCCTACTGACTGCCTGGTGAGTTCCAGGTTCTGTGAGAGACCCTGTCTCAAGGCAGTAAGATGGAGGGAGACAGCTGGACACTAGAAATCCTGCTCAGGCTTCTTACCGTTTGTAAGTATGTGTGCTTTCACAAACATGCAAATGTGTGTATACATACAACACATACTCATACACACACACACACACACACACACACACACACACACAGATGGCCTTCTAGAATTCCTGCTTTAAAAATCTTTCAGAGTCAAGCACTAGTCTTCCTTGAGCTGTGGAACACGATTCTCCTTGGTTTGCTCATTCGGGGTTTGTTTGCTTTGCTTTGAGCCACCATTCCCCATTTTAACTGTTTGAGAATTGAGTTCTGTCTCCTTTGCCTCCCTCTGGACTACTAAGTCCTTGAGTGCTCAGGGAATGTTTGTTGTGTTATCTCTGTACCCACACAGAAAAGATAAGATTTCCAAACAGCTGTTCCAGGTTGAGTATATGCAAGCACAGTTTTTTGCTTTATTTTCCAACATGTCTGCTTGATTTTTATTAGCTACATAATCAAAGACTATTTCTAGCAGAGGCCCTGTCTCCTTTTCTTCTTCTTCCGCTCCCTCTTCCTTTGCTTTCTTCTTTGCTTTTGTTTGTTTGTTTAAAGGTGCTAAGAACTTCAGAGTGTCACAGTGGAATGATCACCATAAACTTTTATGATGAATTAGGGGGGAGGTGAGTTGTGATCGCATCAGCTGCTTACATAGGACCACTTGTACTCTTGATTTTTGTCTTGCACTGGAAGATTGACATCCTCAAGAGCTGCTAGGTGAGACCAGACTACAATAAGCATCCACAGAGCAGAGCTGTGTTGTCTGCAAGGTGAACAGATGGAAGTGGGAGATGTCGCGCTGTGCGGATAGGACCAGTTGTGTTACAGAATCGTGATTTTTTTTTCCTTCATTCTCTATCTTCTTCTCTCTGCTTTGATAATTTGTATTATTTTATGGTTGTTATTTTTTTCTGAGACATGGTCTTGCTATGTAAACATTGGTAAGAAAGAATTCAAAATGTCCTAGTGAACATTCTAGATCTGTAAGTGGATTTTCTGACTAGAGTGGAACTATCATAGTTACTACACATACATAAAAAACAACAACAACAACAACAACAACAACAAACAACTCTGGCAACTGTTACCAATTGTTCCCACTTTTTGGCCAGTGTTACTGAGGATTAAAGTTGTTTTGGGAGGGTCAGGGCTGAGGTTCAAACCCAACATCTCAACATGCAAGGCAAGCATTCTGCTAGTAGCTGTGTACCCAGCTCGAACACGGTGTCCCTTTTATGTGTGGACTAAAGAAAAGCACAGTAAACATGGAAAGGTGCTCAAAACTCCTGGTGCCTGCATGGCCCTGGGCATCTCGGGAGGGTGGCACTTGCTGCAGGTAATGATGTAATGCCGGGTGATATGGAACTCTTGTTGAGCTCTTTCAGTTGAGATGCTAAATGATATGGCAACCATTTTCTGGTGAGGCAAGTGTTTGGAACTCACTCTGTTCCTGAGCAGCATAGCCCTGAGGTTAAATATTTAACCACAGCCAAGTGTTCTTGAGGACTCACTTGAACATGAGGATGTCTGCTTTGACCCTCCTACAACTATAACACGAATAAATAAAAGACCCTGAGACAGATATTGGGGTTCAAGCCGAAGATCAGGGAAGCAAAACAGCTGGCCACTAGCTGTCACCGCTATCTCAGTCTATAGGGCTGATCCACGTATGATTCTTCACCACTTCCCAAACTGCTGCCTCTTCAGTGTGGCTGCAGAAGGAATGCCTCATACTGACTACTGAAGACCCTGCTTCTGTCTTCAATACCCTCAAGTGATGGGATTAAAGGCGCGTGTTCTGTTACTCCTTTAGACTCATTCAATCTCATGTATCCCTGGGTGGCCTTGAATTCAGAGAGGTCCATCTACCTTTTAATCCTGAGTCCTAAGATTAAAGTTGTGTCCCATCACCTCCTAGGTTCTGGCTGCAAGGATTAAAGGTGTGTGTCTGGGTTCTATGGCTTGTGGCTGACTTTGCCTTCTGAATCTCCAGGCAAACTTTAGTAAATAAGTGTTCTCAATCTCCCCTGGCAGGTGTGTGTGTGTGTGTGGGGATAATGTATTACCACATCCATCCCTTGGGAATTCCTGTGTGCTTGGTGTTGCCTTTGAGAGACCCGTTTGAAGCCATAGCTCTTATCCTGAGAGCACATTTACCTTCATGGGAGTTTCTTTAGAGAATCAACTAGAAGGAACAAACACACCTTTCCCAAGATGCTGTTGTTGCTTTGGTTCCTTGTAATCCCCTCTGGGAACTTGTTTTTTTGCTGTAGATTCTTTGTCCTCTGTTAATTGCCCGATACACACAAAATAGAGCCTTAGAAGGTTCAGATAAGGTCAGATATGGAAGTTGTTTGTGCCTGCTTCTTCATGTAAGCCCCATTTCACTCTGAATGAAGCCCAGAGGCATTTTATTTTATTTTTATACTGTGTGTGTGTGTGTGTGTGTGTGTGTGTGTGTGTGTGATGGTGTGTGTGACTGTGTACAAGTGAGAATCTGTGTTGTTCTACCATATGAGTCCTGGGGATTGAATTCAGGTTCTGAGGGTTAGCATCAAGCACCTTTTCCACTGAGTCATCGTAGCAGCCCCATAGGCCTTGTAGAGAGAGAGAGATACAGCAGGCCAAGCCATCAGAACTGTTGGATGCCGCCCTTAAAGCTTCTTCCGTAGGAAGGAAGTGGTACAGGGGCCCTTTAGGATGATGTAAGGGCAGCTGGCATGCAGAGGAGATGGAGGACACCAGATGTGAATGAATCTGGCTGGAAATGAAAGTAGGGCTTTCTTAGTTTGGGTGTATTGTAAATGAGATCTTTAAGTAGTTGCCTTATTTTGTCTTTTATTATCATTTCCTTTTTCCTTTCAGCCTCTGGAATTATTTCCTGGCTTTGTGGTAATAGGATAAAGGAGTCAGGGAAATCCGTGACCTGAATTCCTTCAGCTATATCAGGTCATTTTTCACTGTTTGTCTAGCCTTCCTAGATGTATTAGTTTTCATTGTGTGTCATAGTTTGAGCAGTGAAGAAATATCAGGTCACATGACAGGATCCTTCCTTCAGTTCCTAATGATTGTGAAATTAAGAGAGTTTTGAGATTGGACAGGGTTAAAGATCCTTGATGGTGATAGTGCCTCTCAGAGGCTGAGAGACTGGCCCATCTCAGGGCTTCCCCTTGAGCTTTTCTCATTACTGCCCATACCAGTGTTCTACTGTCCTGGAGTTCTTCATCCTGTGGACACATAGACACTACTGCTCTTGAGACAGAGGCCTGTACCCTACTGCTACCCACAGTCTGTTTCTGGATCAAGAACATTGCCAGCAGTTTTAGTTTCTGATGGGTGTTTAGTTTTGTGGTCTTTTTTTTTTTGTTTGTTTTTTTCCCTTCTCTTTCACTGTAAATGTAAAGTACCTTTGTTTAATTTTAATTCTTTTCTTTTTCAGTTCAAATCTGAACATCAATGATGTCCTAGGGAATTACTCCCTGACTCTTGTTGATGCCTTGGATACACTTGCAGTAAGTGTTCAGCCTTTTCTTCTTTAATTAGGATAATTAAAGTGTTTGGGGGGTTATTGTATTTCCTTGATTCCCCCAGGAGTGGGAATTTCAGGAAATGCTGTACTCGGAAGGCTTTGATGAGTGTCATTTATCTTAATGACCTTCATGGGAAGGGAAGGAAAGCCTGGAAGGTTAAGTTAGGGGAAATGGGACTCTCCTGAAAGGGAGAAAAGTGGTACATGGTTAGTTTTCAGAAAACCTGTTGTTTACTTCATATTTATTTATTTATTTATTTATTTATTTATTTCTTGCTTGCTTGCTTGCTATCCTGTGGTAAAGAGTCCAGAGAATTTTGTTACTACTTAGTTACTATAATCTGTTAGCTCATAGACTGTACTGTTTACTTTTCTGTTGTTGGGATAAAACACCAGGATCAAAAGTAAAGGGAAAGAGTTTATTTCGTTTAATAGTTCTGTAGCCGAGTCCTCAGTGGTGGGAAAGAAAGGCATGGCATGCCAGCAGGGTCGGGAGGCAGGGTGTTCACGTTTTCATCCACTTATGCCGAGACCCCCAAAGCTTCCATGGTCCCCAAACAGCACCAACAGTGGGGACCAAATGTTCCAACACATGAGCCTATGGGGGACACTTCTCCCAGAAAGCAGACCACATCTTCCTGCAGCTCTTTCTCTGGAACAGAGCTAATAAAAAAAAGGATACTGTGCCATGGTGTCTCAGCCCCTGTTTTAGTGGCAAGATAAATTTGTGGCCCTACTGAGTGTCGGCCTCTGTGTCTCTTGACTAAAGTGAATTGTGAAGTATGAAACTTGTCGGTAATCCTGAAAACCTGAATCGGAACCTCTGTTTGTTGTCTGGAACTGAGTGGCCATCTCTCCTTTTATGGTCCCCATCCTACCACACTCACACATCTATCTCTCCTAATTGCTCTCTGACTTTAGCATCATGGCTGTGGCCCTGAGACTGTTCTCCGAAGGCTTCCTTCTGAAGGACAATTTTGTTTGAGCTCCCTATTACAAATCCAGCATTTTTAGTTTATAATACAGTACTTGAGTAAAAATGAGAGGATCCCAGGGTCAGAAGGAACCCCCACATACTTCTAGCTGCTGTCTTCTGAGGAGTGTCTGTACCCAGTGCCTGCCCATGCATGAGGCCCTCTCTGTGAACACCCCTGTCGTTTATTGCTTCTTGGTTTTGGCTACTGGTCACTCCAGATGTGGTTTGCCAGCTTGCATACTGCCTTTACCCTCTCATCCTTTGGCATCTCCATTGGCTCTGGGGAGCTGGAGTCCTCTCATCATAAACAGAAGAGCCCTCCTGAAGGCGGTAAGCCACACTGGACATGCTGTCAGACTGTGTCTGTGTGCTTCATAGCCTAGTGCCATAGAGTATGGTTTCCAAGGGACGTTTCCAGTGTGTTGCAATCTCCTTAGTAAAAGTTAATTTTACAAACCCTTCTGTTTTCCTTGTCCAAGACCATCTTTACTATTAGAAAGCTATTGAATCCTATATCAAGTACTATATTTAATAATTTATCTGGTTCCTTTAAACATCCCTAAGGAATGTTTATAGCTGTCAGTTAGGAGTTAGAATTGGGGAGGGTAGCTAAGTTTATTGCCTCATGGTTTGCTAGTAGTAAAATTGCAGGATTTGGAAATGCGCTTTGGGGGTCTCGGCATAAGTGGATGAAAACGTGAACACCCTGCCTCCTGACCCTGCTGGCATGCCATGCCTTTCTTTCAGATAATGTCCTGCGCCTTCCTTGTATAGACTGCAGAAACAGGGCTGAACCCTGGTTCTACTAGGGCTACTGGGTTTCCTCCTAGGCTCTAGTTGCAGAGCACTTTCAGTCTCCCAGTATTTCCTTCTGAAGGGATTGCTGCTGCATTAAGTCAGCCACCATCACTTCTCAGAATGTGCCCAGACAAGTAAGTAACAGCATAATTAGTGCTAACTGGGAGAAGCTACTAGAGGCTGACTCAGTCCTCGGCTGTGGAAGAAGGGTTAGAAGGTGCATGGATAGCTTGAGAAAGCTCACTCTCCTGAGCCCTTCGGTTAACCCCCAGTAAGTCTTCCTATCCCCTTGCTTGCTAAGTACAGAAATGTTATTATTTGCTGTACTCCCTCCACACTCGACAGTACACAGTACTATACACAGTAGGACTGCAGATTGTTATTTAAGTGAATGTTTACTAATCCACTTTTGTACAACATGTATGCTAAGGGTACACCCCTTGGCATACTATTGTTCTCAAAGAAACTGAAGAAATGCTGACTACTGGAGAGCTGTATCACACAACAGCATTTTATTTATTTAATTAAAAAAATTATGTTGAGGTTTAAAAATGATTTAAGTTGTTTTTTTTTTTTTTTTTTTTTTTTTTTTTAAATGTAGTGCCTAAGTGTGTATGTGCACATGTCACTGCGTGTGGGCGGAGGTCAAAGGGCAACTTGTAGGATTGGGCTCTCTCCTACTGTTTGGATTCCAGGGATCAAATGCAAATGGCCCAACTTTGTAGCAAGTAGTCTTTCTACTGAGCCACCTTACTGGCCCTATTTAGGCTGGCCTTAAGCTTGAAGCAGTCCTCTTGCCTCAGAAGTAGCGTGATTGCAGGCATTTATTTATTTATTTATTTATTTATGTATTTGCTGGTGGACTTGGAGATTGATCCCAGAACTTTGCACACAAGGGAGGCGAGTACTCTCCCACTGAGCTACACCCCCTTGTCATTTGTTTTGTTTTGGTCTTAAGTCAGAGGCCCCAACTGGTGACCATCATGCCTCAGTCTGCAGAGTGCTGAAATCATAGGTGTGAGCTGCATAACAGAATTTTCAAGATTCTGAGAAGCTCCTCCTCTACCCAGTCAGCCTTTCTTAGGCCTGGGTGATTCTAGGTGGTGTAAGTTTTCTAGGTGAAAACTTACAGGGTGTAACTGGAGTACCTGGGTTTCATCACCTTCCCCAGCTTGAGCTGAGATCATATCAACCCTGCAGCTGCACCAGATATTGTTCTTGGTGAACATCTGTGAGAAAACAGACCCATTTCTGTGGTTTTCTCATTGTAGACTCTCTGGTCTTGAATGCGTTAACATGTTGAGGCTTTAGTTTTCTTTTGGTAGCGTTTTCAGCAGATGTTTGCAGATACGCTTGCAAGAGCCCTCAGGGGAAAACAGTCCCCTGACCATTGCATGCAGTTTGAACAAGATTGCATGTTCCTTTAAAAAGGAAGAATTGTAAACAGAAAGCCTGTTTCTGCTCTATACCCAAGCAAATGGTATGATTCGAGAAATATATAGCAGACCAGTACAGTAAGAAATAAGGCACACCCCAGAGAATGAGTGTCTGAAGACTCATTGGTCCTTGATTTATTTATTAATCTATTTAGCTATTGGCATATGTGTTCGTGTCCTTATGAAAAATGGTTATAGAATTTGGGTGAAATCAAATCATTTCCATATAGGTTAACCTATATCATTTTATAACAGTTTTGCCCTTTTTGAAAGGAATAGCATGCTGTGGCACTGTATCTGCACACCTCAGATAAGAGCCTTGATTTTTAAATTGGACATAAAGCTGATAATTGATGTTTTGTTTTTAGTTTTTAAGCATTTGTTGATTTTTTCTGTGTGTACAAGTTTGTGTGTGAGGGCAAGCATGTGCCACAGTATTTGTGTGTAGATCAGAGGACAAACTGTGCCTGGCTTTTTACCTGGGTTCCCAACTCAGGTCATCAGGCTTGCATGGCAAGTGCTTTGACACACTGAACCATCTTCCAAGACTCCACTTCGTTTTAAATGGTATTTGTTTCATGTTGTATTGTTAGTATTATCTCAAAACCTTTCCACATATGGATGGCAAGCAAAGTCAATTAGTTTTCCAGATGTCTTGGATTTATTTGAGAAGCACAGAGAGAGAATAATATTTTTTGTTACTTACTTTCTGACTATTTTCTCCCATTTCACAACTTTTTAGAAATTGTTCTGCCTTGCACATAAAGGTCAGCCCAGAGCTTGGGGGAGAAGGGATTGGCAAGACGTGGCACAACAGTGATTCTGTAAGTGTTCATTCACATAGTTGTGCCACTTGGAGATAGGATCCATGAGTGATCGGCAGGAGGCAGGCTCGCTGGCTGCCCTGGAGTCTGATGTGAGGAGTAACTGCCCTCTACCCTTTGTGTGTCCTTTCCCACTGTGGCAAAGCAGTGCAGACTCATAGATGCAGTGGCTGACTGCGTGTCAGTGTCATTTCAAGCTGCTGTAATGTGTTCTTTTGTTTAAAGATAATGGGAAATTCATCTGAGTTCCAGAAAGCAGTCAAGTTAGTGATCAACACTGTTTCGTTTGACAAAGATTCCACCGTCCAAGTCTTTGAAGCTACAATAAGGTACAGTTGCAAATGAAATGAATTGAAGATTTCTTTTGTGTGTGTGGGTAAAGGACTTAATTCCCCTGAGGGTATTTCAGCCGGAGTCCATATGGGTAATATGGACTCCGTGTGTATTATTCATGTTCATTTTAGTTTGGTGTTTATGAAAACTTGTACTTCTGATGCATGAACATCACCACATTTTGGACTGAGAAGAAATACACATTTTAGTGAGTACATGTGAGAGATGTCCCTCAAATGCAGTTTCGGTGATTCTGTTGATAGCCTTTCTCGTTTCCTTATTTACTGCCTTAGGAATCGTCTTCCATGTTTTAAAATGGAGTTTTGCATCTCCTTACCCACAAAAATCCACTGCTTGCTCTTTTGATGTCTTCTTTTATGGTTTTCATTTATCACCCACTCTTTGCTAAGTAATGGTGGAGTCATGGCCTATACCCAGTTTTATGCCTGGATTGCTTTAGTATGAAAAGTTGACTCTTCCTGTTTAAATATTTTGAAAATTGTATCCTATATTACTGCCCAGATCTAGATCTGAACCTTGAAATTGAAGGTATGAAATAGTTTATTGTAAAACAAGAAAAAATAAATCATTTGTTTGAGAAATGTTGCAGTCCTTTTTAGATAATTGAGATGGGGCATTTATGTATCTACAAGGACATAAATCTAAGAAGGTAGCCTCTAGTTTTCAATATCTCTCATTTTGTCATTTCCTTCTCCATGTTGTCTCACTAGACACTGGGACAATTCATCAATCACCAGGCAATCATACCTGTAGAAGTTACGTGTTCTGTTGTTCCTTCTTCTGTTTCTTATATGGCTAATGTTTCTTTACCAAGTGAGGTGAATCAATAGGAATTTATTGTTGCTAATAGCAAACATTTCCTTTGAGAACAACCCTTGGTGCTTTCCTGACTAGCATAGTTCCTTTTCTTAATATCCTAAGATTAAGATGACCAAATTGGTTAACGCTTTAGGTGGCATCTTCAGCTGTCTTGAATGGATAATTCCCCATCTTCCTGTCAACAATGCACTGAACTGAGAACCAGTCGTTTAGAGCCAGTCACTTAGGAAGCTACTGATTCAGGTTCTTCTGCTCTAGGCAGCTTGGAGCCTGAAAAGAAGTAAAGACGTCTTGTCTTTGTAAATTGGATCCTGTGCACTTGTAACAATATACTTCCGTTATTATTTTTCTTTCTACTGTCAGGGTTCTGGGAAGCCTCCTTTCTGCTCATAGAATAATAACTGACTCCAGACAGCCCTTTGGTGACATGACAATTGAGGATTATGATAATGAATTGTTGTATATGGCCCATGACCTCGCTGTGCGGCTCCTGCCAGCTTTTGAAAACACCAAGACAGGGATTCCCTATCCTCGGGTAAGTGACTGGTTTATTCTGTTGTTTTACTGTTTTTGAGACATGGTCTTATGCTTTGTAGCTCAGCTGCTCTTGAACTTGTTGTTGTTCTTGCATTAACCTTCCAGACATTAGCATCGAAGGTGTGAGTTACCATCCCTGCCTAGCTTATTCCTTTGTGTTTCGAAATTCACAATTTTCCCGAATTGAAACTCTTGTAAAAGGGATGGCTTTAAGAAGAGAGTGATGTCCTTGGAGAGGATTTAGTCCTAAACATAATGTTAGTTTTTAAAACCTCTTTCAGCATTTACTGACTACCTTCTGTGTTCTAGACATGCATAATATAGCAGTTAGCCTTTCAAGTTGAAGAACCGTGTTCACTGTTCATGTGTGTTTATATTTTCTGTTACTAGATAGTATGGAGAATGTTTCTTCATTTCTGGCTTGGATGTATTTCCCTAAGATCCTCACATGTATGCAGGAACTCAGTGAATGTTGATTTGAGCAAGTGAAACTTGCAGGACCAATTAGATGCTGATTTAGATACGAGATCTGGAGTGAGATTGTGTATTTGTGGCATCTGATTTAGCATGCCAAATAGCTCCTCTGGGAATTGTGTCAGCGTTTGCAGTAATCGGGAGAAATGCCAGACCACAGAACCTCCACGATGAAATTGGCTGTCATACTGTGGCTGAACCTCTGCTTCTCTCCCAGTCTAGCAGTTGTTTGTGTTTGCTGAGCAGGAGTGAGTCTTCAGAAACTAGCCTAGAATCCATTACAGTCTATATTTGTCTCTGACTCTATAGTAATTACTTTTCTGTTGCCATGATGAAATACCAAGACCAAAAGTAACTTAACAGAAGAATTTGTTTAGAGGAGAGTCCAAAATGTCAGGGAAGTCATGGAGCAGCAGGAAGCCGACTGATCACGTTTCACATAGGAAGCACAGATAAGAAACAGGAAGTAGGACGAGGCTGTAAACCCTCAGAGCCCACCCCATTGGTGTACTTCCTCCAGCAAGGCTTAAAGGTTCTTAAAGATTCCATAGCCTCAGAAAATAGCCCCACTGCCTCGGCACCCAGCGTTCAACTACATGAGCTTGGGCAGACACCACAAACCCCCAGAGCCTGGTGCTTCTGTAGTCTGCGAGGACACTTGCAGAAAGAAAAGGTTTAATGAATAATGGTAAGACTCAATCAATGTTCTTACTGTTTTCGGTGGCTCTCATCTTGAGTGTAACATGACAGGTGATGAGCTGAGTCACAGTGAGCCTGGTTCATTAGCTGAGTATCATATCTATGATACGACTTTTCAGCACTGTGCATTCTTAAGTTTTGCTACAAAACTTTTTTTTTTTTTTTTTCGGGGGCAAGGGAGTGAGATCTTGCTATGAACTGAGGCTGGCCTTGAACTTGCTCTGTAGCCAGGTTGCCTCCAACTTATGACCCTTTGCTTTGAACTCATGAGTGCTGGAGTACAATTGCTCAACATCATGTGGCCTTCCACACAACTTTTGATTCTTCCCATCCCAGGTCAATCTGAAGACGGGTGTCCCTCCTGACAGCAATAATGAAACCTGCACGGCAGGTGCTGGTTCTCTACTAGTGGAATTTGGTATTCTGAGCCGACTGCTGGGGGATTCCACTTTTGAGTGGGTTGCCAGACGAGCTGTGAAAGCCCTCTGGAACCTTCGGAGCAACAATACAGGATTACTAGGTAGGGTTCACCTTCTGCCATCAGTTGGTCTGTTTAACCTTTGGTCCCCTTTGCTGCCCCTCTGGACTCTGCACTTTACTTCATCTTCCCTGTACCAGTGGATCTGGAAATTGTTAACTTGAACAGTAGCCATTGGTGCTTCATGGGTCCAGTTTCTTCCATGACCTTTTGCTTAGTGGGAAGTTCTAGGGTTTAATAGAAGACAATAAGGGTTCAGCTGTTAGGGCCCTGTCAATTTGGATTCCTTGGTATATTCCATTGGAAATTATTGTTAATAGAAATGTCATAAAGAGAACTGTCTCAGGCAAACTTTATTCCTTGAATATAAGGTTCTAAAAATACATTTTAGCATTTCCAGTAGAGAGGTTTTTTTTCCTTAAAGAAAAAAACTCGAGGTGAAAGCCTAGTTGAAACATATATTAGATTTTGCTCCCTTGAGGATATTTAGTCAAAATATTTAAAAATTATTATGGAAAGGCTTAAGCTTTAGGAGTAGACATAATAGTGAATAATACCCTTTATGTATTCATCATGACATTCATCTTTAGTAACTACCCGTATTTTGCTAACTCACAGTGTTGTTTCAAAATAGGTTTTTAATATCATAAAATTGTCTTATTGGGACATATTTTCTTTTTGACATCTGAAAATAACTTGGTTGTTTTGGAGCCATATTGGATCATCCATAAAAAATTTTGAAGTAATCTTTGTGGTTTGCTGTTTATGTATAAACCTTATTCATTGAATAGCAACAATAAAAATAAAGTCACTCAGGCTGAAAGTGGTGAGACACACCTTTAAATATAGCACTCTGGAGGCTGAGGCAGAGTTAGGGTGAGTTTGAGGCCAGCCTGGGCTGCATAGTGAGCAACATGGTTGGCTTGTCTCAACATGGTTGGCCACTTAGCTTTTTGTAGGCACTGTTAGTCTTCCACAAGTAACTTTTGTGACTTTTCAGTTGTAACCCAGTCCTAAGAGAAACAGTTTTTATGCTGTATGCATTTGGCAGGTCATTCTGAGATTTCCAAATTGTTGCCTTACTTCCATAGTTACCAATTTTTTTTCCCCCAAGACAGGATTTCACTATATTGCTTTGGAGCCTGTCCTGGAACTCTGCTCTGTAGACCAAGCTGGCCTCGAACTTACAGAGATCCACCTGCCTCTGCCTCCCGAGTGCTGGGATTAAAGGCGTGCATCGCCAACGCCCAGCTCATAGTTACCAGTTTTAAAAGCTATGCTTTTTTTTTTTTTTTTTTTTTTTTTTTTTTTTTTTTTTTTTTTTTTTCTTTTTCATAAAATTTTTACTATGTATACTCTACTGGCTTCCACTTTCTGTGCAGCCCAAGATGGCCTCAAACTCCCCATCCTTTCCACCTGTGCATTAGCAGACCTGGCTGTTCTCTGTGGTGCTGGGACTCAGGTCCTTGTATGTAGTAGGCGCTACCCCACCACTGATCTGTGTCCCCAGCTCTGACCTTTTGTTTTTATAAGCATTATTTTCGGGACAAATTCCAATGCATGAGAATATGGGTAAAAGGCTGTGAATACTCCTTTGGGTTTTGAAATGCATTACCATTCTGGGAAAGCAAAAAGCCCATTTTTTTTTTTCCCATTAAGTGTTTCCATTTTTCCTCTGTGACTATTACATGCAGTGCTATAGAATGAACCCTCTGTTCACCAAGTTTCTGATAGGACTCCTTTAGACCCAGCTGCCCATTCCTCATATCTGCCAGGGATAAGGATGCTGAGAAGCAGTGGGACAGGACTAGGAAGACCTTACCCCCCACTCTACCCCTCCTGACATGGTTGAGACCTGAAGTGCCTTGTTCATTTATTTCCACAGGCAATGTTGTGAACATCCAGACAGGCCACTGGGTTGGAAAGCAGAGTGGCTTGGGTGCTGGGCTGGATTCCTTCTACGAATACCTCTTGAAATCTTACATCCTTTTTGGAGAAAAAGAAGACCTAGAGATGTTTAATGCCGCATATCAGAGCATCCAGAGCTACCTGCGAAGAGGGTGTGTGTCCCTGATGTCGCTTCTGTTGCCCTGCAATGTTCAGTTCCTGCCCAGCTCTGCTTCCATTCATTCATTCATTCATTCATTCATTCATTCATTCATTCATTCATTCATTCATTCATTCATTCATTCATTCATTCATTCATTCATTCATTCATTCATTCATTCATTCATTCATTCATTCATTCATTCATTCATTCATTCATTCATTCATTCATTCATTCATTCATTCATTCATTCATTCATTATTACTGCTTGTGTTATTGTTTTTGGAGAGGAGCATGTATGCCATGGCACACATGTGGAGGTCAGAGGGACAACTTGTGGGAGTTGGTTCTCTACCACGTTAGCCCAGGAATGGAGTCTGAGTATTCACGCTTGATGGCAAGCATCGTCATCCCTCAAACCTTTCTGTCTTCTTTCAATTTAAAAATCTTAGGGGTGGCGTGTCACTGGATAGCCCTGTCTGGTCTGGTACTCATTTGGACTCAGACTTGCAGCAGTCTCTTGCTTGTGCTTCCCGAGTACAGGAATCACAGCTGTGTTCCGCCACGCACAGCAAGGGTTTTATTATTACTCTTTAGCTGGCATGGCCTGCAGTTGGTTCACATTTTTTGCAACAGCCTCCTGTGTGCTGGGATTATAGTTGTGAGCTACCCTTCCAGCCCCATTTCTCTTAATATAAACTTGCAGGGTTTATTTGTGTCCTTACCTACCATCTCTCTTAATTGATTGTTAGTCATTTGGGAGTTGGTCATTGTATAGCATAGTGTCCCCAAACCTGGTGACTTAAAACATCTCACAGTTCCTAAGAGTCATGGGTTTTGGTCCAGAATCTTAAATGAAGTACTCTTAACCCCTGAACCATTTCTCCCGTTTTAGGATTATCTTTTAGTATGCAGCAATGGATAGCTACCCCATCCCTGCTTTTGAAGTCTGTCTAAAGTACAGTTTGCTATTTTTTCAGTATTTTCAGAATGTCCATAGAGACTGTATGGAAAAGCTGTGCAAGGCTGGAGAGGCTTTGAGCCCAGCCCCCAGCACCCCCTTCCCCTGACCTTTCTCTGTACTTGTATGTAGTACATGCCTAATGTAAGTAATAGCTGCTGAACTGTTGGTTTCACAGACTTTTGACTCATTTCTATATCAGCTGTTGTAGGGACCATTTTTGTGGGAGCTCCTGGGGGCTGGAGAGATAGCTCAGAGGCTAAGAACTCGTCACTTTTGCAGAGAACCAGATCCATATATGGTGGCTCACAACCTCTAACTCCAGCACCAGGGTATCTGATGCCTCCTTCTGGCCTATTTGGGAACCCACATGCACACGGTTGAACATACATGCAGACACTCACATGCACAAATAAAAAATTTAAACTCTTGCCAAAAAAGGGTACTGATCACTTTTGGAGTTGTCATTTTTTTTTTTTTTTTTTTTTTTTTTTTTTTTTTTTTTTTTTTTTTTTTTTTTTTTTTTTTTTTTTTTTTGCCTAGTGTGGGTGCTGAGTGTAGTTGTTGCTGCAGCTGTTTGGGTTGTTTTGTTAGACAGTCCTTGTAAACTACAAATGTGGACTGCTGTATGGTTTGAATGTCGTTGTTTTGGAGAGATTATGCTAATTTTCTGTGGATTGCAGTTTTACTATTTTTTTTTTTGCTGAAGTGTGCTCTTTTTTGCTTTCTGAGACTTGCTATCCTCCTGCCTCGACTCCTGCGTGTGATGATTAAGGGCATTCACTGCAGTGCCAGTTCATTTTAGCTTTACAAAATACTGAGCTGAATTGAGTGAAAAGCTCTCAGGGTCCTGCCTTGATGCATCCCCACAGGCCTTTCCCCCCTTCTGTACCAGAGAAGAGAATAAAGCATGCTTCCCCGCTTGGGTCAACGCCAGCAGGGACTAATTCTGTTAGATGTCGGTGTTCTGAAACTCAGATGTCAAAAGTGCTTTCTGCAAATGTAATGAAGTCTTGATGTTTCACAAAGACTATGGTTAGAACTAGGTTCTTGTATAGATACTTACAGGTAGTCTTACTGCCAAATATACTGCCAAAGAGTTAGGAAAAAGTTAGCATTGGTTTTGCTTCAATGAAACACCGGGAGGCAGACTGCCAGAGGAGTAGAGCTGGAGCTGTCTGCAAGCTTCCTTTTCATCTGACTTGTACTCTTTGGATCCACAGCCGGGAAGCCTGCAATGAAGGAGAAGGGGACCCACCACTCTACGTCAACGTGAACATGTTCAGTGGGCAGCTCATGAACACCTGGATTGACTCTCTGCAGGCTTTCTTCCCTGGACTGCAGGTATTTTGCAGTCAGGTCTGTTGAGAAGGGCTGGGGAGATAGCTCAGTGGGTAACAGTGCTTGCTGTATGTGTCTGCAGACCTGAGTTTGAATCTTCAGCACTCACTCACCTAAAAAGCCAGTGGTGGCAGCACTATGCTTGGGGGTGGGGGTTTGGCAGTCGCAGTGCTGAGGGTGGGGGCTTGCTGGTTGCTAGCCTAGCTCCAGGGAATAAGGTGGAGAGTCATAGAGGAGATGTCCTACTTTGGCTTCCAGGCATAGCATGAGCGAATATACAAGTGGACGTGGTGATATTTTGCTTGTACAAATAAAACCTCTCTGAAGATCAGAGGACGGAGCTTGCCACTAGCTAACCAGAGACGTCTGGAGGTCTGTACAGACAGACAGGAAGGAGATGGCTGAGCACAGACAGGAAGTGAGGTGGCTGAGTGGAGAGAGGATATAAGGAAGAAATAGGAACTCGTTCTCTTTTGTCCACTGAGCCACTAAAGAGGTGAAAGTGACTTTGGCTTGCTCTTTCTCTCTGATCTCTCAGTGTTTTCCTCCATATCTGACTCAGGGTTTTTATTATTTAGATCAATTAAGAACTCCATTTACATTTTGGTGCCCAATGTGAGGAAGCACTAATCCATGACCCTAAGAGTCTCATGTTCTATGAACTTAGCTAGCCAGCAGAGAGAGAGGGAGTTCCTGTTTCTTCTCCTTTAAATCCTCTGCCCAGCTATCTCACTTCCTGTCCGCCTGTACAGACCTCCAGGCCTCCATGGCTAGCTAGGGGCAAGTTTCATCCTCTCCTCTTCAGACAGGCTTTGTTTGTACAAGCAAGATATCACTACATGTACACACACACACACACACACACACACACACACACACACACTGATTTACTAAGAATAAGCCTTTATAGGGAAAGCTCCCTCTCCCTTTTTATCCTGAGCATTCTGACTCCTTTGGATTTAGGGGGTTTAATAGAACATCTTGATCCCTCCGTGAAGACAGTCCCTAGACTTGAAAGTCTGCCTGTGATTTTAGTTTTCCTGTGTTATCTCTGTAGGTTCTGATAGGGGATGTGGAAGATGCCATCTGCCTCCATGCCTTCTACTATGCCATATGGAAACGGTACGGGGCCCTCCCTGAGCGCTATAACTGGCAACTCCAGGCCCCTGACGTTCTCTTCTACCCACTGAGACCAGAGTTAGTGGAGTCCACATATCTTCTCTACCAGGTAATGGGCTTATTGAGCAGTGGTTTACTATTGCATATTGACTCCATAGAATTGCTGCCTATTTCTGTCTTGTTAGAGGTCACTTCTCTTGATTGTGTAGGATAGAGAAAGTGTCTACAGCCAAATATGCTTTTAACCTCACATTTTATAAAGATTCCTGTCTTTACTATGGGCTTATTTTTCTTATCTTTGAATATTTTTTTCAACTTTTTTTTTATTTGAATTAGAAACAAGACTGTTTTACATGACAATCCTGTTCCCTTCTCCCTCTTGTCCTCCCCTACCCCCTCCCCCCCAAAAAAACAACTAAAACCCTACCTATCACATATCCTTTCTGCTCCCCCTGGATGGTGAGGCCTTCCATAGGGTGTCATCAGAGTCTATCATATCCTTTGGGATAGGGCCTAGGCCCACCTCTGTGTGTCTTAGCTCAGGGAGTATTCCTCTATGTGGAATGGGCTCCCAAAGTCCACACCTATGCTAAGGGAAAAGTACTGAACTACTATAGGCGGTCCCGTAGATTTCTGAGGTTTTTATCTTTGGATATTCAAAGGAAGATTTCATCTTTCAGTTTTCTAGATTTGTTTGGCTAAGGAACCTTTGGGAGAATGTAATTTTTCCCCCAGTTTTCTGGTTTACATAAAAGCATTGACACAAAAAGATTTTTTTATATGTATGTTTTTAAAAGGGATTTTGTGTGTGTGTGTGTGTGTGTGTGCGCGCGCGCGCGCGCGTGCGCGCAATCAGTGTAGTAACAGAGGAACTGTTACTATGAAGTGTCTCCTTGACAACTGCAGCCTGGTACATAAACATTTTTACATGTTCTACATACATACACAAAGCCACAGTTGCATCAACCTAAGCTCTTAGCTTCCCGAGAAGCTGGCTCTAGTGAGCTTAGTAGGTATGAGACAGGCAATTGCATTGTGCAACGACCCTCATTTGGAGGTTTCATTCTGTGCTTTCGATTTACTTTTGAAAATTACACTGTACTAGCAGTCACTACTTCTAGGTTGAAAAAATTGTGTGTGTGTGTTGGGGGGGGGCACACTCCATTGAGACTATGTTAGGACTAATATCTCAAGAGACTGTCTTGAAAAAGAGAAGAGGTGACCTCGGACGTGGTTTCTCTGAGCTTAGTGTAATGTGAAGCTATGCCTGCTCTGAGGATGTCTTCCCCGCTGGCTGCTGTGTGGCTTGTAGTAGCTTAGCCCTGTTGCCCATAGGTTTAGCACCTCTTTATTATTTTCAGTTCACCCTTGTCCACTGTGTACTTAGAATCCAAAGGAATCTTCCGCAATAGCTTTCTCCTCTAAGGCTATCCCAGGCTCTTAATCTAGAGGCAGCCAGCATGCTACTATTTCCTCTTGTTTCTATAGGTTGGCAGTAGGCATGAATTAGAAGTTTTGGGGTAAAAGTCTCATCTTCCTAGAGAATATCCTCCTACAGTCAGACAGCATGTGACAGAAGAGTAAGGACCTGAGCTCTGATTTCCTGGGTGATGAGAGCAAAGTGCTGAGGCCTGGTTTAGAGTCCTGTTCTCTAGAGGACTGTCATCCCCTTCACTGTGCCTCACAGTGTAGTGTCTACAATGAGAGCAAAGTGCTGAGGCCTGGTTTAGAGTCCTGTTCTCTAGAGGACTGTCATCCCCTTCACTATGCCTCACAGTGTAGTGACTACAATGAGGCAAAGTCCTATTTCCCTGTCTCTGCATCTTGTTTCTAGGGGAGGTCTGAGGCAAGATGGAAACCGGATTTGTTCTCTGATATAGTACCTGCAAGGTGGGCATTGTTTCTTTTCTGATCACGGTAGGCATCAGTAGAGCCCAAGTAGTGCTCTGCCTTGTGCACATTTACTAACCCTGATACAGTTAAACACATCACAGGTATTTGCTGACTGAGTGCCTTAGTCAGATGAAGTGAGTCTGGCTCTGTTCCTTCCTTTAGCTGGGGACCCATCTCCTCAGGGAGCCCTTTCAGTCACTCTGATGTGTGTTGATGATATCTCTTCCAAGCGTTTCCTGCATCACATTCTCTTGTGTTTTGTCTAGGCAACCAAGAATCCCTTCTACCTCCATGTAGGAATGGATATTCTGCAGAGTCTGGAAAAACACACAAAAGTCAAGTCAGTGTTCTAAACTTTTTATTATTTGGATGCTGTGATTGAGAATTGTTCTGGAGAAATGCTGTTGTAAAACATTAAATTTAGTCATGTATACTTATATTTATTTATGTATTTTAAGAGTATGAACATTCTATCTGTTCATACGTATGTACCATGTATGTCCTGGTGTCCTTGGAGGCCAGAGAGGGCTCCAGATCCCCTGTGACTGGGTTACAGATGCTTGTGGGCTGCCATGTGAGTGCTGGGAATTGAACTTGGATTGAACTTGGGTGCTGGGAATTGAACTTGGGTGCTCTTAACTCCTAAGCCTTTTCTTTATCCCCCCATCCACCCAAGTTTTTTTTTTTTTTTTTTTTTTTTTTTTTTTTTTTTTTTTTTGGTGTCTTTTCTAATATTTTAGTTATTAGAGTGAGTGTGTGTCTGTGTGGAGAGTTAAAGTTGGTTGTGAGCTGCCCATTGTGGGTGCTGGGAACCACTGAGGTCCTCAGCAAGAGCACTGTATGCCCTTAACCTTTGAGCTGCCTCTAGTCCCATAGATATTCTTTAAAATTATGTGTATTTATTGTGTGTGTCTGTGTGTGTGTGTGTGTGTGTGTGTGTGTGTGTGTGTGTGTGAGTGAGTGTGTGTGTGTCTGTGTGTGTGTGTGAGTGTGTGTGTGTGTGTGTGTGTGTGTGTGTGTGTGTAGGAGGACTGCCACATGTGTGCCACAGTGCATGAGTGAGGGTCAGAGGAACCTACAGGAATCTTTTCTGTCCCTACAATGTGTGGGTCCTGAAGACTGTTCTCAGGCTGTCAGGTTTGATGGCCAGGGAGTCATTTCTCTAGCCAGGAAATATTATTATTTGGATTTCAAGTCTGTAGCACAGATTATTTATGTTAGTTTGGTAAAGAAATGGTTTACCTTTTGATACAGTAGAATTTCTCCGTTGTAGTGGACATTACATTTTTATGCCTTCCCCCGCCCCACCCCCCATCATGTAAAATTTCAGCAAACTGTTCTTTTCGAGAAGTTTGTTTTTATGCTGGTAATTCATTAAAGCACTGAAGCAGCACAGAAGATATTAAGGGTGGAAGAGTCTTGTGATCTGTACTATAGGTCACCATGGAAACACTGAAGTACCCATGCTTCGTATCTTTTTAGTTTGGTGTAGTTATGCATAGGTTGTATATGTTGTGCATACATATACATAAAAACATACTTGTATTTTGTAGCCTGCTTTCTTTGTATATGATAGAAAATACTGTTTTAGGATGTGCCAATAGTAATCCATTTCCACAAATACTGGGATGAACAATTAAAATCAGTCCTTCTAAATTTATTCCCGGTCATTCTTATGATGCCATGTTTGATTTTTGGTAAACACACTCCAGTGACTTCGTTCCTAGCTTGGAGCTAACCTGATGAGAAGCAATCAAGCATGCTTTAAAGTAAATCTGCAAACAGTTCGTGCTTAAAACAGAAAAAAGAAGAAGGAAAGGAACAGCCCTTTTGCCTAACATGGTTATTTTTTATGTGGTGTGGGAGAAGTAGGTTGATTGTCTTGATAATAGAATATTCTGGCAGGTAATTAGCACAAGGGAAGGAGCCTGACACAGGGCTAACTGAGCTCTTATTTTGTAGATGCGGGTATGCCACACTGCATCACGTCATAGACAAGTCTAAAGAGGACCGGATGGAGAGCTTCTTTCTCAGTGAGACGTGTAAATACTTGTATCTGGTACGTGTGTTGCAAGATTAATCAGAGGTATTTAGCACTGTGGGAGAGCAAACATTTGTGCAGTCTTCTGTCAGACAAATATTTACTAGTCACTGCTGTGTGCTGGATATTGTACATTCCCAGAGTTACAAGCCTGGTCAGGACAAAAGGATATTGCTGTCTTCCTTCGTGGCTGTCAACCTCCTGGAGAAGTTATTTGTCCTGTAAACAGAAATGAGCTCATGGTTAGGAACTGTGGGAAGTGCTGGTAAGGACTGATAGAAAGTCAGCTTTTTGGTGGTGTTCTGGAGACTTCTGTGAGGAGGAAAGCAGTGTTTACTTCTTTTATATTTCCCCTGGCATATTGGACATTGAACTCATAGCCTTGTGCAAGCCAGCCAGGTATTTTACCACTGAGCTACACTCCCAATCTGGGAGTGGTGTTTCCAGCTCTTGACGTGTGGTGCTGTCTCAGAAGCAGAACTACCTCTTGGTCCCATGTATATCTTCAGGCATGCTTTTGTGTATGTGGGGAGGGGAGAATTTCTGGGCCTGGCAGAGACCTTGGGATTATTTAGTTACTATTCATTCTATTCTTCTGAGAAATACAGCTTACACTGAGAGGTCAGCTAACTTGACTGAGGTCTTGGGGTGACCACAAAGCTGAATGAGGCTTGAACCATGTCCAGTGCTCTTTCAGCTTCTGCATTCTGTCACAGACATGTGTAGCGCCTGTATGCTTATGTGTGTAGCCTGTCTTCTATCATGGCTACATACAAATAACACTTGAAAGGCACAGAGTGTTTGGAGATTGAGGCAGCCGCAGTAATAGTAGGTTGTGTCCCATAGTTCACTAGTCCTCAGACCTGGGTCTAGCTAGGTAAGAATGACCCTGGGGCCCTTTTTAAGACTTCCTTCACATTGAGTCTGAGTATTTGAGAAGAATGGCCTTGAGAATTTGATTTTGACAAAAGCCTGCACTGATAATGTGCAAAGCCAAATTTTGGATAAAGTGATGGTGAAGTCTGTGTTTCTCCTCCAGCATCTCCGCTTATAGTCTGGGGTATAAGAGGCAGAGGGTAGCTAGTTCTAGGATGCAGGTGTGAAGAGTCTAAGGAGAGATGTGAAGATTATCTGGGGAGCCTTATAGTCTGCCTGTGCTTGGATCCTGGCCTGGGGTTTCTGATTCTCTGGTTCTCCACAGGGAGTGAGGATTGGGGCACATCCAGGCCTCTAAATTTAAACTAAGTAAATCCTACATTGCAGCCCTGGTCTGGGATTCAGAGCTGTTAACTGATTGATGCCTTTTAATCCAGTTTTTTCACTCAGAAGCTCAGAACCCTTTGCGGTGAGTTAGTTCAAAAGGTTCTCCAATTACCAATTGTAGTATTATCCTTAAAGTTGGTGCTAGGGATTGACTCCAGGAGCTAGGTATGCTCTGTAAGGACTTAGAGCCATATTCCAGCTCTAGTCCTCTCTTGTCCTGTTCTGTACTGTACTCCCCCCTCCCTCCTCTCTTTCCCTCTTCCTTCCTCCCTTCTCCTTCCTCCCTCCCTCTTTTCTCTCTACCCCCACCACCATGTCTGGCCTGGAACTCACTATTTAGACCAGGCTGGTGTCAAACTCTTAGAGGTCTACCTGCCTCTACCTCCTGAGTGCTGGAATTAAATGTTTATGTCACTATGCCAGCCTAATGCCAATTTTCTTATTGCTTCTTTTTCTCTGTGTTTAGCTGTTTGATGAAGATAATCCAGTTCACAAATCTGGAACGAGATACATGTTTACAACAGAGGGCCACATCATATCTGTGGACAAACGTCTTCGGGAATTGCCTTGGAAGGAGTTTTTCTCTGAAGATGGGGAGCGGGACCAAGAAGAGAAGTTTGTACACAGGTCTAAGTCTCAGGAACTCAGAATCATTAACTCCAGTTCTAATGTGAGTTGCTTTTTCCACTGCATATGGAAAAAAAAAATTAGTCCTTTTGGCATTCAGAGTTTTGACACAAAATAGATGACACACTCAGATTATGTAATTGGACAAACGTTCATAAAGGGACCATTTATACAGGTGGCACTAGGATGTAGAGAAACTGGGACCAGCAGTGCAGGCATCAGTCCTGTCTTCAGGGGCAGGTAGAGAGTGGTACAGCATCCTGGAAAAGTCGTTGTAAGAGCAGAGGCTACTGGCAGGTTGCACCACTTAGATTTGGCTTCAGTGATATTCGGGAAGGAAGCCAGCAATATCAACACAGGATCCCTTCCCCATCTCTTCATCCTTGACTGCCTCTACCTGAAGCCAGAGGGCAAGAAGAGTGTTGCTGAAGTCCATCAGAACACACTTCTTCAGGCACGATCAGTGCAGAGGGTGAAGAGAGGTCCACAGAGAAGATTTCGGGAGGGCTACCGGAAAGCAGTCACTCCCTTTAAGTCATCTTTTTGTTGTTGTTTAGTGTTTTGAGACAGGGTCTCGTGTAGCCCTGACTTACTTCACACTTGCTGTGTAGATAAGTCAAGTCATTTGGTCAGGGACATTGGCAGTGTCTGGAGTCATTTTTGGTACAACTGGGGACAGGGAGTTATTGCTGGCCCCTTAGGTGGGAAAGGGCAGGGATACTGACCTGTTCACTGCCCTCTAATGCACATAACTATCTTCCCATAACAAAGAGGCCTGTGTCTCAAAATGTCACTCGCCATGGATTCATGTTTCCTGGGTTTCTAATTAATTTCTCACAACTCCTGTCATTTTTGTCTTTCCAGTGCAATCGCGTTCCTGATGAGAGGAGATACTCTCTGCCCTTAAAGAGCATCTACATGCGCCAGATCGACCAGATGGTTGGCTTGATTTGACCTGCTCACCTCAGTGTGGCCAGACCTTAAACCAAACCCAAGCATACCAAAATCTCCTCTGAGATGGAAGGGGTGGAGTGTGTCCATCTGTGATGCTGTAGAAGTTTCTGTCCAGCTCTTACCTCTGCTTGATTCTTGCACTTAGTGTTTCCTTTCTCTTTAATAAAATACCCTATTTTTCTGAAGGCTATAGTTAGAAATGGGAAGCTATGGGGGAGCTTCTTAAGCACAATAGATGTGTCCTCTTTGGATTGTTCTTCCCAACTTCATGCATAGAATGCCTATCTCCTCGCTCTGCCTCCACTTGCTGTGCTGAAGTATTGCTACCTCTTTGTTAGAGGATCGGGAATGCAATTCCTGTGCAAAGGTCCTGAGGTTTACTTGGCATCACTACTTACTGCAATGAAAGTGTCATCCTTTCTCTCCTGGGTTCATCGTGCTGTTCCCAAGATAGCCAACTGTGATTTGGGGTCACATGGGGGAAATTCACCTGGTTTATTTATATCCTCAAGTAATTTATACAGTGTTACTTGTTTTAGTGTAATGGTCTAGCCAGAAATCTGACAGGTAGCCTCTGAAGTTAGATTGGAATCTACGAGCTTAACTAATAGATCTTTTGAGCTGTAATTTGCATTTATTTTCAATATCAGCTTACCTGAAGAACTCCTGTGGTTCCAGAACCAGGTGCCTTCTAGGGAGAGGAAAACCTTAGGATTGTGTGAGCTTCCATCTCTCATGTTTCATAACCAAGGATGCTCAATGCTATCTTTGGGTTAGACTTCTGTTCTTGTTGGCTTATGTGTAGTGCCAATTAGCTAATCAGGGACAAAGAAAAGATCAGATGACTTTCTGATATCCTTGAGCCATTTCTTTATGTGATACAGGCTTTAGATTAGTGCCTTATGGGTTTTGTTTGGGCCATTGGCTGTCACAGCCACTGTGGTGCCTGTAGGCAGCTTGTTTTGTATTGCCATATGATGGGACCAATAAAGAACAGGGTGGGCATGAGGAAGATTCCTGGAGATCAGTCTTTGCCTTTTCAACCTGTGATTGTAGCCAGGCCTAAAGGAGGAAATTATGAGAAAATACCTTTTGTTGTTTCTTTAGCTGAAATAGAAAGCTCTCTGAATTTACACAGACTGTTCCTAAAAAGCAGAGCTGGGCCTGACCCCTAGCCTGGCCTTCTTGCATTGTGACATGTCAGAAAGCATCCTAGACAAAGAATGGGCAATCTATGAGAAAGCTGATCCAGCCTCACATATCTTGTGTCTTCCCTGTGTACTGTGTATACACTTACAATTAGTTCATCCCATTCTCCTATAGCCAGAAAGAAAGCCTTTGGACCATTTGATTTGAGTCAAAAGGGAGACACTGTGTTACTGTTTTGAAATAGATATGTCATTCAGTTCCTTGGCATTTTTGAATGGTGTTTTCAGTAGTGAATGTCTCACCTTTTAAACACTTACTATGCAATTGGTTTTATTTATTTGTCATATTAAATGCTTCTGTTTTCTTTTGATTTCACAAGCATTGTTCTGTGTATCAACAGTGTCTCATCTACTGTATGGAAAGCTTTCTTTGAGAAAATGATCTATTTTACATGTTTTTGTTAATTTAGGAAAAGTGTTAAACATATGCTTGTACAGACGTGTGTGTCTGTGTGTGTGTGTGTGTGTGTGTACACCCCTTTTTACCTTTGCTCCAGGCAAATTCATGTGTGACTGAATGATCCACTAGGGACAAGGAAGACCTATCAGGGAAGGAAGTGCATTCTTCATGCTTCTTTACCGTCTTCCCCATGTCTTTGTCTGGTTTTGTGACAACAGTAGGTAGGGTATGTCAGCTCCCAACAGTCCTCTCTCACTGGACTTTTCACCTATCACTCTTGAGTGGGCTTCGGTTGTTTCTTCTCCCTGTGCTCTAGGAGTAGTGATCTTTGTCTGGAACAAAGTACCATGGTGCCTTGAGTGCTATCAGTGGGTCTTAGGGGTACAGGCAGACATGCAGTGTATTTTATTGAGTCTCAAACCCTCTTGACTTTTGGGTACTGGACTTTTCACCTGTTGAAAAAGGCTGGGGCTTAGTAAGATAATGCCTATAAATCCTTCTCGACTGCTCAGGCCACAGTCAGTGATTTGTGGGGCCAGATGAAGACCACTGGTGCCAGTCATATAAAGAACATTATTTGTGTCAAGTTCGAAGCTGACTTGCTTTCTAAAAAATCAAAATGTTGGCAACTATGCCGTACATCTTGCAATATGTTTGCTGTTCCTTCTAGTCTGTGTGCTGAAATCTGGGTAGAAATCTCTAATTCTCTGCTTTGTTCCGGGAATACCTGGAATGTGAACAGATAGCTTCACAGATATTCGCAACATCTGTAGAGCTGGACCATGCTTGTGTTCCCAGGAGCAACCAGTGTCTAGTGTCCAGTTTGGCCAGCATGTTCAAAGTGTAGCAAGCTGCCTTCTGGTTCGGTAGGTGTGGAGGAGTCCAGTTCTCCTACAACCAACAGGCTTGCCTTAGCTGCTATAAATACTGTGACAGAGGAAGTCCATTCTCCTAGAAGTGGGGTGACAAAGGAATGCTTGGTGGCTCTGATTGCTTTGACCGTTGAGAAAAACAGGTTTGTTTTCCAAAGCTTCCCTTTAGTTTCTTCCTGATCTGCCAGAGCTTGCTTTTTGTAACTGAATTTCTAGTTCTGATGATGTCTGGGCTTTTCTTGTCTTAGATTCCGGCCTCTGCACGTGATATTCAAATAGTTTTCTGTGTGTTGCAGGGAAAACACATGAGGGTAGTGCCTGTGCAGGTGTCAGGGAGTCCATATTTTACTGGTCGGATTAAATGCAGTTGTCTTTGCCATCTCCTTCCCTCTCACCCCTCTCACTTCCCTCTCATCTCCTCCTCAGCATGGTGAATGAGTGTCCACTGTAGTTCTTCACTCTGGATCTTGTAGACTTTCCATCAGATATCCCTTTCTTTCAGGGCACTGAGGTCTTCTTCTGTTGACATGCACACATTTAGTGCTGGTCAGAGGCGAGGCCTGAGTGATCACCTCAGTCAGAGTGGCTGAGCAGGGACTTGAGAAGAAGGTGCTGATCTTTGCTCTTCCGTTCCAGCTGTCCAGCACTTACTCTAGTGCCTCTTCCCTGCAGGGCAGGGACTCCTTGTGGATTGGAGATGGTGATGTGTGTGGGCTGTGTGGCCCGATTCAGCAGGGCTCAGGCTTATGGTCCCTCTTGAATTTGGATGTGAATCTCCTAAAGATGTCAAGTACCTGTGAAACCCATCTTCACTACTTCCCTCTTTCTGAGAGGAGGACAAATAATATTTTTAAGGTGTTTGGTTTTAGTGTTAAATAGCAAACCACAAGCTGCATACAGCTTTATTTATTACATACACGAAAAGTAAATCTGTTTTTACAAAACAAAAAAATCTAGAGTTGGAAACTCTGGGACAACTTACTGAGATGCACAAATGCTTCTCTCTCTCTCTCACTCTCTCTCTCTCCCCTCTCTCTCTCCCTCCCCCTCCCTCCCTCTCCCTCTCTCTCTCTGTGATGTGCAATATGCTTGGCGACCATAGATGATACTTCATGTTTAATCTGTAAATAAGAAATGTATTTAAATTAAATGGGAGATTTTTGTAAAAGGACCAAATGTTCTTTTATAAATGTACTAAGGAATATCTTGCTCTTTGAAATTTATTAGGATTTTTATGAATAATTTTTATTAAAAGATTCTTTTTTGAGTTGTCACTGTGTTTCTCCTTTGAATATTTGGATATATTCATTTTGTGCAGGAAAAGGGGAAAATCACTTAGAGAAATGATAAGCTTTGAGGACTAAACACTTTAGTTTTTTTGTTTTGTTTTCCTTAGCAGCTAAGTTTTGAGAGATTTCTCTGTAGTCGTCTGTCCCAGCTTTATGTTTGAATAATGTCCTTCATGATGGACACGCCCCTTTTCCATGTCCCATTGCTATCCTCTTACTACGTCCCCTGCACTGGTTCCCTCGCAGTCTTGTGACTAGTTACCTGTGTTCTGGAACCAGTTCTCTGGTGTCCTAAGCAAGGCACCTCGTATCTTCCTCAGTGGTTAAGGTGGGGTAGTGAGTGGCGCTGGGCAGTAATGGTGCACATCTGTAATCCTCACTCCCCAGAGGCTTGAGGCTAGCCTGGGCTACCTATCTTTACAACCAAAACAGGATCACCTTGCTGGTGATGTAGGGAACCCTGTCCTTGAAACTTGAAATGCTGATAGAGATCTGCCCTCCCCCCTTGCACTGCTCTCTCAGGATCTAGTGGTAAAGTTAGCAGATCAGTTTTGTGGTGTTTCGGTGTTCCATCTAAGGGCCATAGGCAATTCTGACAAAACTGAGGAACCAGCAGTGCCATAAGGTTCAGGAAAGAGCCCTAAGATGGGAAGTGTTTGCTTTTCTGAAAGAGCTCGACCTTCCCCAGACAGGGGGCTCAGCAATTAAGAGAACTTTCACTTCCAGGGGACTGGGGTTGGGTTCATAGTACCATATGAGGTGGTTCCCACCCTCCTGTGTCTTCAGTGTGAGGGGACCTGACACCCTCTTCTGACCTCCCTGGGCACCCACACAGATGTGCACATGAACACATATATGCACAGGCTCGCTCAAGTACACTTTTTTTTTTTAAGTGCCATTATAAGGTGTTCTGGCTGTGTTTGTGAAGTGCCGTGGGTTTTGCATCATCTTCATAAAACCCTACTGCTCCAAGGTCACCGAGACAACAAATGAAAAAACATGGACTGGTGTCTATCCAATTTTCCCAAGGTTCCTTGCCTCCGTAATTGTGAGCGTACAACCTTGGCAAGCCAGTACTGAGTGGTATGGAGCAGTTGTTTGTGGAGGTGGCGCTTCAGGGACTATAGGTCCTAGGTTTGCACTGCCACTAGCAAGCTAAGATTATTTTTATTATTTTTATTTATGGGTACATGTGTAGATCTGTGCATGTGGAGGCCAGAGGCTGCAGATT